CACTAAGTCATTCCCTTTCCGGATTGTCACGGAAGCGATCGGCTCGGCTTACCGTTACACCGTTACGCTGCTCGTGCGCGTTCCGGTTGGCCCGCGGCTGCTTTTCCGCTCCATTAGCCGAATGTTCTCATCTCACGGTCCCCTGTGACCGTCGCCTGTTCTCACCACGTTCTCACCTGTTCTCACCATCCCCACCAAGGCGAGAGTGGCACGGCCCCACGGCCCGCCCGCCCGCCTGCCGACATTGCCTGGACCGTTTCAGCGTACCATGTAACACAGATGGACGCGGGAGGACGTGCGCGCTTTGGTCCCACCCGTCCTCCGCGCGACGCGGCGCGGCCGGCTCAGCTCGGCCTGGCAGGCTGCCCGTCTCCTGGCACTGTCCCCGGACAAGCGTCTCATATCTCCCTCCCTGGCTGCCCGTCTCCTGGCACTGGCCGCGGACAAGCGTCTCCTATCTCCCTCCCTGGCCGGACGTCTCGTGTCTCCTCCTCTGGCCGGACGTCTCCTGTCTCCTCCTCTGGTCGGACGTCTCGTGTCTCCTCCTCTGGCCGGACGTCTCCTGTCTCCTCTGGTCGGACGCCTCTGGTTCCCGTCGCCGGCGCGGGCGGCGGCCGGCCGTCAGTGATCGCGTGTCCGTGCACTGGCACGTGGCGCCAGAAGCGCGGCCGGACGGTTCCGCCCGTCGCACGCGCCCAAGGCCCCGCCGCCGGGCGCACGCCGGGCTGGGACCTCCCCCGCCTGCAGGCGGTCCGGCGCTGGTGCGCTAGTCCGGAGCCGGGACGTCGGGTGTGACAACGAGGCCCTCTGGCAGCTGGCTGCTGGCTGTTGGCTGCTGGCTGCTGGCGCCTGGTTGTATCGTGCGGATGATTTGGGAGGGGGAGGGCGACAAGGCATTTGCTGGTGAGAACAGGATTGCAGGGCTGTCAAACTGGCAAACAGGAAACAGGCATTGCAGAGGGGTTCGCCGCACTGCGGTTTGATTACGATTGATTGCTGCCACGGTAAGATCGCAAGCCGATTTCGTCCGGAACGTAAGACGTGGCGAAATTGACAGAACAAAGGTCATGTTTTTCCAGCACGCCTTTCGATTGGCTACTGGATCAGAGAAGGAAGACACAGCTCGCAACCGAAAGAATGACGCGTTCCTGGAACACGATTATTAGAACACTTCCCAGAGAATGGCTATTTCACAATGGGTTTCCACAGCTACGACGCCAAATGAGACTGCAGCATGTTCAATGTGCTTCGCTCCTTGCGTTAGCGGAGTGCGCCATTGCATTGGTGTGGCAATGCGCAGAAAGAGGCGGCGTAGCTCGATTGGCAGTGTTCGTCTCTCGACCGGGTGTGGAAAGCCCGCGACATTCGAGCTTCAAGCCTCTGGCCGAGAGTTTCACTTTCCCTTGCGGCTCTCGGCTTACGAGATGTACAAGCTGAATGACTTTTAGATCCTAAATGCCTCATCGAACCACAATATTCATCATTAAATACACCGAATTAAGGATAGCTCTGGCCCTCCTTAACGTTCGCTGCTTTTCGCCGCGTCATTGCCACATTCGGAGTGCCTGCTGCGAAGCACCTCGAGCCTGATTCAACGTAGCATGTTCGGCAAGCGGGTGATCATTGGATTTTTAACAGGGCGCGCGGCACCACTTGGCAGGTCTTCAGCTCCCCCGTGCAGTCCCATGCTCCATGTCCCATGTGCTCTCTTGTGGCTCCATAGGTTCCATGGTGGACTATGGGATGCAGGTTCCCCTCCACGAAGCACGGCATTTACACATTAAGTGTTGGGGCATTTATAGTGAATTGGGGCCTGATGCTTGCAGGTAATTTCGTTAACGAAGCTGGCCCGGCTTCGTTACAGTGTCATCGAAAAACGCGGCAATTTCCCAGCACGACAGTGTGAGAGAGACGCACGTACAAAATTCGCGAGCGGCATCGAAGTGAAAAATGGGGCGGCATTCCCACGCCTGTCAAAACAAGGTCACTTCGGAGCGGCGTGGCTCGTTTGCGATAATCGATACGGAATGGTGGTTTGGAGATAGGGTCACGGTCACTGATGCTACAGCATGGTCCATGGTTGGTTCTCATCATGGTTCTCTTCATGGTTCCCATCATGGTTCTCATCCACCCGCAGCTGGTTTCGCTATGGGAGAGGCCTGTCCAGAGAAGGCGGGACCGATCGGCCTCTCGATCTGATTCGTACTGCCCAGACTGATTGTCGAGGAAAGCTGCAGGTGAGCTCTCCTGGTGGTTGAGGCAAGTTGCAGGTGAGCAGCTCTAGCTGCTCAAGTAAGCTGCAGGTGAGTTGTTCTGATTGTCCAGGTAAGCTGCAGGTGAGCTGCTCTGATTACCAAGATAACCTGCAGGTGAGCTGTCTGATTACCAAGGTAAGCTACAGGTGAGCTGCTCTGATTACTGAGGTAAGCTACAGGTAAGCTGTCTGGTTACCAAGGTAAGCTACATGTGAGCTGTCTGATTATCAAGGTAAGCTACAGGTGAGCTGTCTGATTACCAAGGTAAGCTACAGGTGAGCTGTCCTGGTGGTCGAGGTAAGCTGGTAATCTGCAGGCTGTGCAACCTAACTGACCTCTTTATAACGCGCGTCTTTGTCCACAAATTATGCATGATAACCTTTAGTAATCGTATGACACCCAGCTGTTTATTGTTAACCTGGCTCAAAACATTGTCCGTGGACGAATAATCTGTAACTCCAAAACAGTGATGGAACATGGAGAAATGAAGTTGAAAAGTTCTCATTTCTGTCCAATGAACTGTGCTTCAGAACTCCAGCCACTGTTCAAAACAGTGTTGACCTATCTTGCCTAGCCTTTCACAGGGTCGTGTTTGTGCTTCTCTTTCTGAGCCTGTCCATAATCATCAAAAATGTGGTTGTTTTACACAGCTCTAAGGCGATACTATAGGAAGAGTCACAGGAACGCCGGCAGTGAACACCAGCCACTACGGCAAGAAGTTACCCCATTCACTACGGCCAGAAGTTACCTGTAAATTCAGTTTGCCTTGCTAACGTGTACGCAATTTTCGGGTTGTACCGTGTCCATAATTCTCAGATTTGGAGCTCAGTAAAATATTTCATGCTCACCCATTGTCTGAACTTGTTTCGAGAAAGGCTTGTGGTTGAAATCGTAATAAACCGTTATTTTTCGCGTGCCATGCAACTGCCAACGAAGAATAAGGTCGAAGTAACGTGATCTGATACATGTGTAATGTTCCCAGCCGATGAAATAAGCGACTCACATAGCTTTCCATGCTTATACCGCACGTAATTGGACCCGCACTTTGAAGCCAAACCTTGCTTCTTAAAGCAAGACAGGTTAGATCTATAAAATGTGGCGCTCTTTGTGACAGCGATTTAAGGTCACCATAAGAAGCGCTCAGACCATGGCTACAGCTGGCTCCACCTCGCTAAACGAATTCTGACCGTTAAGACCGTCCACCACCCACAAAAACCACACAAAAACCGCCGGCTGTTAAAGTGAAGCGCTCATCTGTCTCAAGGTCGCGGTGGGAACATTCGCACGGGTGGATGTGGCCCGGTTCTTGTCATAGAATCATGCGCCGCCAGATCCCCCCCCCCCCCCCCCTCTCCCCTTTAAAGAGACGTAGATGAATACTAATCACGAGGCGGGCCAAAAGCGAAATGGAACTTTTTGCAAAGCCCATCGAAAGCACACGGTATTTGCAGCCGGCCCAGAACCAAAGGAGCATACCATGTGCATTATCACTATTGTTGGCAGTGATAAAAAGCGAACGTTGGACACGCAGTGTATGTTCTACAGAGGCAACCGTTTCGGAAGCCCAACATTTTCATGCGAGCATTTGTGTCACTTTTTTTTACGGGGGCGCTACACACAGCTGAATATGTGCTATAGATGTGATGCCGGGTAACCAACGTGACGTTAGTGCGGCTGGTTTAACTTCATGCAATGTCACTGGCCTCCTACGCTTTTTTCATTTTTGGCCGGGCTGCCCTGAAGTTCGAAACTGCATGCAGCTGACATAAACACGATCAAACATATGGTATTAAATAATCACCAACGGTGCGCTACTACGCCGATCATTCGGACAAAAACGACCGCTAGCACGACTCGTCGTTAAGAAGGCCGCCTTTTAATGCGCGCTTCCGCTAATAAGAGCCATCGCACGCTTGTCTTGGACACAAACGCTGCTGAATGAAGCCATAGCCTGGTTTTTAAGGCGTGGATATACTCCTCAGTGATGACGCA